TGATTAGCATTTTGAAAATGGAAAATATTTTCATGCAAGGTATTTATATAATTATTACATCTCACTTTTAAAACACAAGGATTTTTTTTTTTCCCTCTTCTGGCATTTAGCGCCACATACCAGTAAGTTTCTTCAACAATTTTCAGATTACAATAACACAACATAGGATACTACGAGGAACTAGTAAAGTCCTAAAATATGTTAAGGTAGAATATGGCCACAATCATGAGAGTGCTGAAAGTCTCCAAAGTTAAAATTCTCCTTTTATATATATATATTAAAATATAGAATATATTGCTAAATTCATGAAGCAAATGATATAATCCCTGTATATATAATGCCCTGCAATATTTTTTTCTTCAAATGTGTATAAGCGTTTTTTAAAATTTGAAGAGCTGTTAAAAGAATTTACTTTGAAAAATCCCCTCTCCCTCAAAAACACGACTATAATATGACTTATACATAAGCCATATATCACTTATTCTTTAAACATTTTAAATCAATGCAAAGTTTATAAATTATGTGCATAATACCAACAAAGGAATTATGGTTCTCTCAAAAAGCAGGGTTAGAGCAACAAAATAGAAAATATATGTCTCACAATCCACTCACAATGCCAATAAAACTGACAATCTAAATGAAAAGGATGAATATTTACAGAAAGATAAAATGTCCATATTAACAGAACAGGAGATAGAGGACTTAAATAACCCAATTTAGAAAAAGAAATTGGACAAGCCATAAATGAATTCACAAAGAAAAAATACCCCAGGGACTATCTGTATTAACAGATGAATTCTACCAAGCACTATTAGTTCAAACATTACATAAAGTTTTTTAAAAATAGAAACAAAAGGAGTTCTACCAAATTCCTTCTATGATACAAATAAGACATCTACAATTAACCAAGGAGAGTAAAAATGTGAAAGGAAAATTGTAGGCCAGCATCCCTAATGAATATTGATCCAAAAATTTCAAATAAAACATGGCAGGAAACTACAGCAACATATCACAAGGATGATACACTATGACCACATTGCATTTATATAGGAATGCACAGCTTGTTCAATATTAAGATAACTATAACTATTACTGGCTATATTAATAAAAATAACAACAAAAATAATAATATGTCAATAAATACAGGAAAAGCTTTTGACAAATACAATAATCATTCCTGTTAAGAGAAAGAAAGAGAGGAAGAGAGAGAGAAAACATAGAGATAAATGAATCTTTCCTTAATATAAGTAATATCTACCAAAAACCAAAAGCCAGTAACTAGAGCTTTTCCAATAGTTAAAGGGTAAAGTAAAGATTTCTATCATCGCCATTATTATTCAATATAGTACTAGGAAAGGGATGACAAGATGGCAGAGTAGTAAGAAAGCAGTGTAACAAGGAGTTTTACCCACCACTCCTCCAAACAGATCTACAAAGTATACCAGACTGAATCCTACTAGGGAAATATAAGAAAAAGTCACAGAGGGTCATTTTTCCATCCAAGTTTGGCATAGGGAGACAGAAAAGCTGGCACACAATACAGATGATATCTAGTGCACAGCACTCTCAGCAAAGAACACCCTAGTACCCAGGGAAAGGCTGTGAATTAGGGGAAGAAGGGGTCCCAGACCTACACCAGGACACTCCTAGACCCATACTACCCCATATTACAGCAAGGACACATGAGTGCTAGCAGCTTTTACGATGACAATTTTGATACCCCTACTCAAATTCATCAACATTTATTCAGTTTATTGTTATCTGATGGGTATTAGTGATTGTATTAGTGAATTAAGCAGAATAGAATTAAGTTTGAGGTAATTATGTTACTTGACGCTATTAGGATAAGAGTTATGAATGATTGATTAATCTACCATGTAGTGATGATTATATTAATTGTATTTCACTTATCAGCTGGATTCATACTCTTAGAAATGTAGTAAGAATGTAAATGTGCACTATCCCTCCACTCCCACTCTGTAATGGGCTGTAATAAGGTCCATTTGCTGGTGTAATACCCCTTCACTCCTATGAATCGTCACCGTCCACTCCCTGGTGACCTTTGCTTCAAACCCACAACTTCCTTGAACTCTAGGATACTGTTGGTCAAACATTAGGTTTTTATTTCTTGTGGAAGGCCTTGAGATGTTGAAAGGGTCTTATGACCTTTGGAAAGCCCCCAGAGTTGATGCCCTGTGGAATGTCTGTTGACAAAGTGGTTATGATTGATGGACATTTCTCTTAGCCAATCATAAGACTTCCCCCTTTTGGAATTGGCCAAACAATGTACTGCAGCACCTCATTCTATTTTTAGCGATCTCTCAAATTGTAGAAATCCCTCAAAATGAAGCATAGGGGTTCATAACTGCAGAGGAGAGTCTACAATCCAATTTCTTAAGGACTACTAGATTCCCTAATAAACTGAATCTGCTCATACTGCTTCAGTGCCCTTTTGTTGCAGATTGGAATTATGGGGCCATACTGTGTTGCTCACTACCCAGTCTGACACATACCCATGAAGGAATGATGAGGGGATATGTGCCTGCTTCCTCTTCCCTCAGTAGTCTCAGGACTTAGTGGTAAACCATGAAAGGAACAAGTTCAAAAGCAAGCAGCAGCTGTGTGCCTCAGACCCCAGGAGCAGAGCAGAGTATCACTTCTAGACTCTAGCCCTGTCATAATCCTACAAAGGAATAACCAGGACAGGAACCCTAGACCTAAAGGAGCTTGCACTCTGAATAGCAGAGCTAGCTAACAGTGAGAGTCCAGCTGCAATCCATCGTTCCTCAGATCCAAACTAAGGTCAAGGTCAGAGTTCAGAAAAGGGGAATGGGGAGGTGTGTGTCCCAGCAGGAACTAGACTTCACTGTGGATTAGACCACTTTGGTAGCTGAGGATCTGGATTCAATACACCAAGAAGCAGCAAAAGATCAGTTCAGACCTTCCCTACAGCTTGACTGTACAAGTCTGTAACAAGGGTTCTCTTTTTCCTTCATTCTCAAAGGAGAGGGAAGAGAGGAGGGAAGTAAGTATTGGGATGGACAGAGAAGAGAAGGATTTTTGCTAACTGAAAAAACAAAACAAAAAATATCGTGCTAGAATGTTAGGCATAGCAATAAGACAAAAAAAAAGATTCTGAGAGAATAAGCATGAACAATGAGGAAAGAAAGGATCTTTTTTTTGCAGGTGATATGATAGTTTACTTAAAGAACTTTAGAGAGTGAACTAAAAAACTAAGTGAAAAAATTAAGAACTTCAGCAAAGTTGCAGGACATAAAATAAACCCGCACAAATCATCATCATTTATGTATACCAACAAAATCTAGCAGGAAAAGATAGAAAGTCCCTTTAAAGTAACTACAGGTTGTATAAAACACTTGGAAGTCTATCTGCCAAGAAACACATAGAAAATGTAGGAAAACAATCAGGAAACACTCTTCATACAAATAAAGACAGATCTAAATAACTGAAGAAATATTAATTATGAGTAGGCCAAGGTATTATAATGAAAGGTTTAATACCAATCCTAAATTAGTTTATTTATTGAGTGCCATACCAATCAAACTACCAAAGGATTAGTTTCTAGAACCAGGAAAAATTATAATAAAAATCATCTAGAGGAACAAATGATCAAGAATAAAGAATAAATGAAAAAAATGGGAAGGAAAGGGGCCTTACAATACCTGATCTAAAACTAAACTAAAAAGCTACATCTATACAATTTGGTACTGTGAAGAAACTGAGAGGCTGACCAATGGAACAAATCAGGAACATAATACACAGAAAGAAATGAGCACAGTAGTCTAGTGTTCGATAAATCCAAAGGTCTCAGCTATCAGGGCAAGAACTCACTATTCAACAAAAACTGTTGGGAAATTTGAGAAGCAGTCTGCCAAAAACTAGGTATAGATCAACATCTTATATCATATACCAAGACAACCTCCAAATGGGTATATGACTTCAACATAAAGAGTGATATTACAAAAAGATTAGAGGAACAAGGAAGAAATTACCTGTCAAATCTATGGATAAAGGAAGAGTTCATGACCAAACAAGGGACAGATCAGAAAATGTAAAATGTACAATTTTTATTATGTAAAATGAAAAAGATTTTGCACAAAAATAATTCAGCTAAAATTAGAAAAGAAGCAGGCAAATGGAGAAAAAATATTTGTGCCAAGTTCCTCAGATAAAGGTTTCAAATAACAACAATCTTGTAAATACAATCCACTTTGAAAGTCTTAAGAACTCTGATCAACACAAACAATCAGCCTTAATTCCAAAGGACCCATAATGAAAGTCTACTTACCTCCTAATAAAGGTGTGATGGATTCAGAGTGCAGTTTGAACTGTTTTGGTTGGGGGTTTTTTGGGGGTTTTTTTGGACAGGGCCAATGGGCTAATATGTTTTGCTTTACTATTCATGTTTAAAACTTATAATTTTGGTATTCATAAGAGAAAACATCGCTGTAAAACAATGCAAATATATGTAAACCAATTGCTTAAACACACTGCCAATTAAAGTTATTCGTATATTAAATATCTCATAGTCCACAGAAAAAGTGAAGGACATCAAGGCAGGAAAAATGTAAGTATAAAATATGCATTGAGAAGTAGTGTGGCTTACTGGATGGATAAAGAGCCAGCTTCAGAACCAGAAAGATCTACATTCAGTTCCTGCCTCCTACATATTATATAGTTGTGTGACTCCAGGCAAATTTCTCCATATTTCAAGGCTCTAGGCAAACTTCTAAGAAAGTAAGTTGCAGAGAAGACAACAACCTGCACTGGTAGGGTGGAACTTTCTCATCTGGGAGTTCCATACACCAATAAAAACATAGTTCCAGAATTCAGTTTTACATCAAGCTTTATTTCACAAAACTCCTACATTCTGGAACATTAATCAATATATTGACCACCCTCCCACCCCACCCCAACCCCTGGCAGCTTTAGCAATCACCTCCTCTGGTTATTACCAGTGCAGATCACTGCTCACTTACCATAGATGTAACTGATCTAGCGTCTTCTTCATAATTGAAGACGGGAGGTGGCTCTTTTCCCTCATTCTCTTGTACTTTTTGTTCTAGGAGTTCTTTCTGGGCTGTGAACTTGGACTCAGCACATCTTAACTGCTGGACTGATTGCTTTATCTCTTCTAATGCCTGTTTTTGGCTCAGCAGAAGCACAATACTAAAAGAGAGCAAATGAAATAGAAATGATTTCAAAACAACTATGCTGAAGATTATAGCCATGCCACAGAAGAAATATAAGAAAATCTTCATAAATCATAGAGCTTTAAAAAGCAATCAGTAGGGATGTATTAAGCACCTATGCACCAGACTCTGGCAATGCAAACACAAAGATTTAAAACAATCCTTACTTACAAGGAGCATATATTCTAAGGAAAGAGATTAAAGTCACACACACACACAAACATGTATAAAGATACATAGAATAAATGTAAAGAGAATCAATGCAAAGTAGTTAGATACTATGTAAGGTAGTTTGAGAGAAAAAGCTTCAGATACAAGGTGGTGCCCAAGCTGTGTCCTGAAGGAGGAGAGTCACACGGAAGAGGATGGGCATTCTTTCTGGGATGGAGGTTAACAAAGTATAAAGACACAGTGAGAGGAGATAGACAGTCTCCTCTGAGAAACTGAGAGGTGGTCAGTTTGGTTGAATCACAGAGTAAGGAAGGAAGAGTAATGTACATTGAAAATGAAGGACAGGCTGGAGCCAGGTAGTGAAGTGCTTTAAAAGCTTTAAAAGTGCTTTAGAAGCAGGGTTTATATTCAACCCTAGAAACAACAGGAAGCCACTGATGTTTACAGAGGAGAGAAGTGAAAAATCACTTTGAGGGAGGCAGACAAATTAGGAGGCCATTGCAATAATCTAAGCAAAAGGAGATTACGGTCTAAACCAAGGTTGTAGTTGTATGAGTGGAGAGAAAAGGTTGGATTCAAGTTATGGTGAAGAGGCAGAAATTTGGCAAATGATTAAATATGTGGGGTAAGGGAAAATGAAGCATCCAGAATAATTCAGGTTATAAACACAGGAAATGGGGGAAATGGTAGGAAGTTGGGAAAGGAGGTAAATTTGAGAAGAAAGATTTTCTTTAGGACATTTTGAGGTTGAGATGTCTCTTAGATATTCAGTTTAAAATATCCAACAGGCAATTGGTGTGGCAAGACTGAAGTTCAATAGATATACTGGGGCTGGATATAGATATCTGAAAGTAATATGCATAAACATAATAATTAAACCGAAGGGAGATGATTAAATCAAAAATGAGATTAGCTGTGATGCAAATTATGTTCCTTTAAATATCTAAACTAGAAGAGGAAGGAGTTTTGAAATCAGCTGAGGTTTAATTAAAATCTAAAGCTCCTATACATATACTCATCTCATAAATTCTGACCACCTCTCCCTGCTAACTAGCTATCATACTATATCTTTTCTCCTTGAAAAGTTCATCTACAATCAGTGCCCCCACTTCCCCTCCTCTCACTGTCTTAACTCCATGTAGTCTGGCTTCTGACATCATCATCCAAATGATCCCCTCTCCAAAATTACCTATGATCTCTTAACTGCCAAATCTAATAGCCTTTTCTCATTCTTCATCCTTCTTGACCTGTTTGCAGGCTTTGATATTGTTGATCACCTTCTTTTCTAAGATACTCTCTCCTCTCTAGGTTTTTGTGACATTGCTCTCTCCTGATTCTCCTTCTACCTGTCTGATCACTCTTCTTTTTCTCACTTTTAGGACTGAAAACATCCTCAAGTCTTGGTCGGCTCAAGGTACAAAAGATTACAGATGTTGACATTTCCTGGTTGTCTGAGTACAAAGAAGCCATAAGGAACTCCAGGGTCATGCCAACGCTTGGGTGGTAGGTTGGTAACATGGGTAAAGAAGCTTCATTCCCCTGAATAAAATGAAAGTATCCTCAATGCCTATCTTTTCTGAATATCCTTCTCCTGCTATGACTAAGTAAAAGTCTTTTTGTTAACTGCTGAATAACTTAAAAGTGTCTCAAGGTGTTCTATCAAACCAAAACTAACAAGGGATGGCTCTGAGTCAGTATGTGTCTATGAAGTAGCCTCTGTTTGTAAAGTAAATTCCAGGAATGCAGAGATTATTTCACTTTTGCCTTTGAATCTCTGGTACTTAGCTCAGTGCTTAATGAATTTAAATGATTAATTGATCCTCCTTTACCCTGGATTCTATCTTCTAAATTCTACCTTTAAAAATGTTAAGTTGGATGGTGGATATTCACATCATTCTCTTCAGTCACTAAGGTGGCATGGTGGATAGAGTACTACATATGAAGTAGTTGAAGCTGAGTGTGAATCCTTCCCCAGAGACCTAGGAGCTGTGTGATCCTAAACAACTCACTTAACCTTTCTTAGATTTAGTTTCCTCATCTGTAAAATGATAAAATAATAACTCCTACTTCACAGGGTTTTATGAGGTTCAAATAATGTGATACATTTAAAAGAGCAATGTAAAACATAAAAAGTGAAATATAAACATGAACTATTATTCTTAAGACAAACACCATTTTTCTTCCTCATTGGAATGCTTTGCAGATCAAAGCATACTTTTTTAAAAATTTTCTTTAATTTCCTTGGGGTTGGTTTTTTTTGGTCTGTGTTTTCTTTTGCAACATGGCTAATATGGAAATATGTTTTACATGACTAAATATGTATAATCTATATCAAATTGCTTGCCTTCCTAAGGAGATGTGAGAGAAGGGAGGGAAGGAGGGAGAGAATTTGGAACCCAAAATTTTTAACAATGGCTAAAAATTGTTCTTACATGTAACTAGAAAAAATATTTTTAAAAAAATTTTAAAGAATCAAGAAAGCCAAGGAACCCAGGAGTCTAAACAGAAAGTCAAATGGAGAAGATAAAGGCCAAGATATGCTATGATAGTTCAAGAAGCTCATAACAGGTAAACCTTGCTACCTTATAGTTAGCTATTTTTATCCCTGTCCTAATCTGCCTGGTGAGGGAAGGTGGAGGATATGATAAGAAGATATCAGGATGTAGTGGGAAAAGCATGGAATTTGGAGCCAGAAGATCTCACCTGGTTACGCTACAAACTACCTGTGTAAACCTGGGTAAGTCACTTAACATCCACAGCTTCAGTGTCCTTCTCCATAAAATAAGGGAGATAGACCAGACAATCTTAAGATCACTTCAAGATCAAATCCTATGATCCTATTGCAGTAGACAATCCCTCAACAGGAAAGACCTAGAAGTATTCCAGTGACAATGAGTCAATTGGCCTGGTAGAAAGTGTAAAGGCAGAAAAGCAGATGCAACATTTATCAGTCACTTCCTGAAAGAGAACAACAATTTTTGGTTGAAATGATGGCCAGGACTGGTCATAAAACAGGTAGATTATGTTCAAAATGTGCTGTTTAGGCAATCAAGGAAGGGCAGAAAGCATTTTAGAAAGATTTCTTTAAAAAATAACTTACATAAAAATAATCTGATGACTAAAACAGTCTCATTTATCTAGAACAGCAGTTCTGAAACTTTCTGATCTCAGGACCCCTTTATATTCTTAAAAATCATTGAAAAGACTCCTCCCTCCCTGCAAAGAGCATTTGTTTATGTGGGTTTTATCTATTGATCTTAACTGTATTAGAAATTAAGACCTCTTAGTATTATTATCTTAGGTTATGAAGAGTCAGACAGATTGAAACACTGAACAACAAGCATTATTATGAAAATTTTTAACATCATGGACCTTCTGAAAGGGTCCTGGCATCCCAGGGATCCCTGGACCATACTCTGAAAGCCACTGATGTAAAAGACTAGCTTTTGTAGAAGCCCTCAATCTCCAATAGATGACAAATAAATGCTGTTGTACTGTTAAAATAATTACACTTCTTTCTTTAAGTTGTTTGTCTACTTACTCAGACTTCTTTTCACAGGTCTTAGAAGATTCTTCAATACTCTTTTCTAGTTCCAAGACAACTTCCTCCTTGTTTAAAAGCATCTGCTGTGTTTGGATCAATTCTTCTTCGACAGTTTTCAACCTAGAATGAATATATGCTATCCAATCAATTAATGCATGGACTTTATACATGAGGTACAGGGATAAACAATATGTAGATAGATATTCTCAAATATTTGAATGTGTTGTGGGCAATTTCTATTTCTTAGTCTCTGAATATACTCGATTTTCCTTTTCTACATAGATTTTATAGACACTTAGACATAAGATAAATATTATAAGAAAAATCTATGCTAGCAAAAAATAATTTCTATTAATTAAAAAATTTATATTACCAAATTTGAAAACACTACCATTGGTAGGGATGAAATTTTTGTTTTGAATCTTCTGTAGCATAGTACTAAAGAACATTAATTTTTATGCACTTTGCAGGCCTGGCAGATGAGTGAAGTCTGGGAAAGGGGCATAGGCTATATAACAGTGCCCAGGGTAAGTGAAGGAACACCGAACTAGTCCCTGCTCAAAATCTCTTTACATATTCCACCAACAGGAGATTAATTGTGATTAATAAGCTCCTCCAGTTTGAATACTCCAAGAGCAGCACAGGGAAGGGGGGAAAAGAAGAAGAAAAAGAAATGAGTTAGCTGCCTGTCATGGGGAAAAAATAGTTAAAATCTATTTTCAGTGCCTCCTTCAATTCATCTTCATTCGGAGAATTCTGGTTTATTTGCTCTAGGGAACCTCTACAACTCCCCAAAATGTGATGGGCCTTTAGTATAATTACTGAACACAGTAATCTACATTCCTGGAGATGTTCAATAAATGTTGACAAACCACTGAGAAGAAATGTTTACCCAAATTTATTGGTCAGTATCATACACTGAGAATTTATAAAATCTGTATATCTACAAAGGTCTTCATATTTTTACCACTGTTTATTCCCTACAACAATACTATAAAGAAATATCACTTAGGTACAATTTTAACTTGTTACAGTAATTTTACAGTCAACACTTAAGATGTTTAATCGTTTCCTTTTGCTTCGAGGATAAAATACAAACTCTTCTGTTTGGAATTTAAAGCCCTTCACAATCTAGCTCCAACCTGTCTTTCTGTACTGCTTACACATTAAAGCCCCTGAAGTATACTCTGATTCAGGCAAACTGCTTACTTGTTAGTCCCCACTGTGGTGACCATACTCTCCACCAAGGCTGGAATTTTCTCCTTCCTCATCTATCCCCCCTCCCCCTGAACCCTGGTCCTTTCAAGGGTCAAATCAACTGCTACTTCCTACAAGTGAGCTTACTTGATTCTCCCAATTATTAATGCTACCCTCAATCGGCAGTACTGTCCACAACAAAAATTATTTTCCATTTATTTTATAATTACTTATCTGTGGACTCTGTTAGGAAAGGCAGATTCAGGGCTCTGAAAGAAAGCCAGCAGAAGAAGTTACAACACAGACCCAAAGGGAACATCATAAACATTACAAAGGGAGCAAAGGACTTCAAACAACCAAAAGCTGCAACACCATGAACTGCAAAAGGTCAGAATGTCTTAAGTTTTTAATCAGGATGGGCAATAGCGTCCCCAGAGCAGTAGTGACTAATGTCAGAGTTGAGACACATCAAGGTCAAATGAGACACATGTAGTAAAGGCAGCTTCAGGCCTCTATCAGGTCTCAGAACCCGACAAAGACCTACATCAAAAGAGAGAACTCCATGAAGGGAGAAATGGATTTCCAGTAACTAAGAGATTTCTGTTTGGTCTCAGCTCTACCACCAAGATGTAGCTCCCAAGATAAACTGATCACTAGTTGCTATTTAACCCAGTCTTGGATATATGCAGCCCCTAGCCTCTTCTCCCCTTTGATTGCAGAGCCAGAGGAGGTGAGCACTAAACTCCACCCAAAGCTTTCCTTTATAGAGGGCAGAACCTGGACTTTGAAGCTCCCCCCACTTTGGATCTGTACCTCTGTTAAGTCTCAACTCCATGAATCCCCTACAGTATCCTTCTCCCTTTCTCCTCCCCTTTCCAGCTTCCTTTTGTATGCTGTCTTCTCCATTACACTACAAACTCCTTGAGAACAAGGACTGTCTTTTTCTGATTTGTATCCGCAGTGACTAGAATATAATGTGAATCACAACACAATGTGATGAGTCCTGAAGACCTTCTTACTTGTCTCCTGAGGAACCTGTATGCAGGCCAAGAAGCAACAGTTAGAACCAAACATGGAACAACTGATTAGTTTACGATTGGAAACAGAGTACAAGTCTGTATATTGTCACCTTATTTATTTAACTTATATGGAGACTACATCATGCAAAATACCAGGCTGGATGAATCAAAAGCTAGAATTAAGGTTGCCTGGGAAAATATCGACAATCTTAAAGTATGCAGATGATGCCACTCTGATGACACACAGTGAAGAGGAATTAAGAAGCCTCTTGATGAGAATGAAAGAGGAGAGTGTAAAAATTAGCTTGAAACTTAACATCAAAAAAAAACTTAGATCCTGGCAACTGGTCCCATCACTTCCTAGCAAAAGAGGGAGAAGAAATGGAAGTAGTGTCAGATTTTATATTCTTGGGCTCAAAGATCACTGCAGATAGGGACTGCAATAATGAAATTAAAAGATGCTTGCTCCTTGGAAGGAAAGCTACAACAAATCTGGACAGCATACTATAAAGCAGAGACATCACCTTCCTGACAAAGGGTCCATATAGTCAAAGCTATAGTTTTTCCAGTAGCAATGTAAGGCTGTGAGAGTTAGACTATAAGAAAACTTAGTGTTATAGAATCAATGCCTTTGAATTGTGGGGCTGGAGAAGACTTTTGAGATTCTCTTGTACAGCAAAAAGGTCAGATCAGTCAATATTTAAAGAAACTAATTCAGGCTATTCACTGGAAGGTCAAATACTGAAGCTGAAGCTTAAAAACTTTGGCCACATAATGAGAGGACAGGACTTATTAGAAAAGACCCTGACGCTGGGAAAAATTGAAGGTAAAAGAAAAAGGAGATGGCAGAGGATGAGATGGATAGATATTACCATGGACACAACAAACATGAACTTAGACTTCAAGAGATAGTAGAGGACAAAAGGGCCTGGCAAGCTATGGTCCATGGGGTCACAAAGAGTCAGACATGACTGAACAACTGAACAACTGAACAACAACAAATGTTTACTGAATTGAAGAAAGTGCACTGTGCTTAGAGTTAGTGGACCTGGGTTCAAATCCTGACACTGATACTTACCTGTGAGACCTTGGGCAAGTTATTTGACCTTTCTGGGCCTTAGTTCCTCAACTGATCTAAGGATTCATGGAAGAAAACATAAGTATCATCAAGAAGGTGGTTAATAACTCTCTGATAGTTAATAACTATCTTTTGACCTGAGACCTGACCACAACAGAAGTCTGGTGTCTTTTTGTGGTATCTATACAAAACACAATAAAGAATTTCAAAAAACTTGTTGAAATTGATAACTCCTATTAAATTTTTGTGATTTCCAGCAGAATGTAAATTCTTTAACATCAGAGACTTCTCAATTCTTTTTGTATCCTCAGCTCACAGCACAATTCCTTACAGTTTCTGCCTACTATAATGGCATTTAATAAATGACTATTGATTGGTTAATTTAAAGGAGAAGTGATAGTCAGATGAAAATTTAGAAACAATTTCTGAAGATTAGAAAGGCTTGGTCAAAAAAACTGAAGATCACAGGGGCAAAGAATGGTTATAAAGATGTTTGAGATCGGTACTTGGATTTCTGAACTATAGCTTAAAAAATGGGAATGATAGGATTCTTTGAGGGATAGAGTTCACCTAATAAAGGCTCCTCAAGATACATTCTAAGGAGAGGGGATTTAAACTAAAAAGCATGGAGGAAAGAAACTGCCTAAGTATATCCACCAAGAGAGAAACTAGAATGAAGGAAAAGTAATAGTTCAAACACAAAGAAGTTCATAGGAGATGAAAATCCAAGAAAGTAATCATTGATAAAACCCATGATCTCTAATATCTGTACAAAAAAAATACCCAAAGGTAGCAATCAAGATGAACTAGAGGGTCATGAACAAGATGAATCAATTTAGCTACTACACCTTGGGCCGCTTCCAAACTGTCCTGATCCTCCCTGCTGCTCTCCTTTACCAAATTATCTTGGATTTATTTTGTACATGTTTTATACATATTTATGTGTACACACACTGTCTCCCCTGAAAGAATGTAAGCTCCTTAAGGCTGGTGTTTGGCAAATAATGAGCACTCATTGATTGGCTGGTTAAAGGAACTGGGGATAAGTAGCATGAAGAAGGGAAGGTTCCTGGGGAATGTAGTAGGTGTCTTAGACTTATCCCACATAGCCCCAAAGTTCATAGCTAGAAGTAGGGGGTAGAAGTTACAAGAGGGCGAATTTAGGCTTGATATCAGTCAGTCCACCAACCAACAAGTATTTATTAAGCACCTACCATGTCCCAGGCACTGTGGTAGGTTCTTGGAATACAAGTACAAAGAAAGAAGCAATTCATATAAAATTACATGCAATATCATAAAGTGAATAAAGACAAATATTTAGAAAGTTAAATACAGTTCTCTCTTCCACAGTGCAACTTTCCCCATTGAGGTTTTGATTTACCATAGGTCGGCATAAGAAATTAAATGGGAATTTTGGGAGAGTTTTGTGGAAGCCACAGATGACACGCAAAGGCCATCAGACAACACAGAGCCTTTGACCAAATACTTAATCCAAATTTTGCAAAAAGATAACTGTAAACACCCCATAAAAGAAAAAAAATTCAGACTTCACCTCTGGTACAAAGGGAGGATCAAAAATTTTTACACAGATTTTCCATATTGCCAGGGCGCTGCGCCCCTAACCCTCCCCTCACACACACACAATGTGGAAGGGACAACTGCATAGACTGATCCTCAACTTGCATAAATTACTATGACAAGAACCTTTTAATTCATCTAGCTCTATTTGGCCAGGCCAAAAGAAATCGCAACCATTCCTAAGAGCCAGCCATAGGGTTTTATAACCACTGCACCCAGAATGATCAATCAGCAAGAAACTACCATGTGACAAGCACTGTACTAAGCACTAGAGAAAAAAAACGAGTTTACATTCTACTGGAGGAATGTATTGATGTTAGCATATGCAAAATATGTACAAAATAAATACAAGGTAAGTGGGGGTATGACAGTGGAGAGAAACTAGCAGCGGGAAGGGAATCAGCAATGGTCTCATGTAGAAGTTGTAATTTTAGTTTGGTTCTAAGAAAACTAAGGATGCCAAGAACAAAAGAAGAAGGAATATATCCCAATTATGGAGACTAGCCTTTATTTTCTTTCTTTCTTCCTTTCTTATTTCCTTCTCCCCACATGGGGCATTACACCCTTAACTGTTGGTGCTCTGCCCAAAGGGAATGTAAATTTTAATCTCTGAAACTTTTTTTTGGTTTATTTTTTCTCTTAAAGACCAGATCTTAACCCCAGATCACCCTGGCTCCCATTGATTGGCCAGCAATAGCCTGGCCAAGACCTACTTGGTCATTGTTTGGACCCTGATTGGCTCAGAATGAATGTAAATAACAATTATTTCTGTTCAGGCATGAAACCCAGAGGATCTTCCCCTCCCAGATCTAATTTTTTAAGAGGTCATTCTCAGCCTCATTTCTTATTAAGCCTTAATCACTGAATGGGTGTTGCTTCAGTCAAACTGAGACCTGATAAAGAACCTAGCTTGAAAAGGCCAAGGTCCCCCACTGCATCCTGGGCCATTGCCAGTTGTCCTGATCCATTTCTGGCCACTAGACCCAGATGGCTCCGGAGGAGAAAATAAGACTGGTGACTTTGCACAGCCCTCCCTCACTTAAATTCAATTCCTTTCCAAGTCATGGCATCACCTCCCTGATGTCATGGTCCTCTTCAAGAAAGACAAACAACAGTCTTTATAAAAGTAAAGGTGAAAAGACAAAGTCTCAAGTATGAGGGCGGCAAAAACAAAGGAAATTCTTTAATTCTATCAGATAGAGACAAAGTAAATAAATAATAATCAAATTCAACCTTTTGAAGTAAGAGTCTACAGATGAGCCCCAATAAAAATTTCAAGCTTAAAGAAATAACATATAAACATGAGAACAGGTTCATTAGCAGCAATGGTGCGATAAAGGGATAGATCCATATATTTATCCAGGAACTTTCTTTATAATGTTTATAGTCAATCAAAAGATTGGCTAAATAATTTTTTAAAAGACCCAGTACTCTGCATTCCAAATTGAATGTTAATTATTAACTGCTTGGTGAAAGAAAGCACTGATAGCACATTAAGAAAGATCTGGTCCCCATTGTTTCTGTTATCTCAGTAAGCACAAGTGAAATGTCTGGAATTCATTCTCATCCTATCTTCACCTTGGAGAAACCCTAGCTTCTTCCAAAGCACAGTTTAGTTGCCACCTCTTCCATAAGGGTTCTCCTGATTCCTTAAGCCTTCAACATACTCTCTCCCTTGACATTACTTTACATTTATTTCTGTGTTAATTTTTATATACTTTATATTTACTTATATCTCCCCCAAAAAGACATAAGCTCCTTGAGGGTGGGAGCATTTTCCTTTTTTTTTTTTGGCTTCATTTCCCCCAAGATCTAACATGGTTACCTGCACCTATCACATACATAATCAACATTTGTTAAACTAAATTGAATTTACTAGAACCTCTAAAGTTTAAAAAAAAAACTGAAATCACACAACTGAGTAAATCTGATTTGAAAGAAAATAAGAGACAGAATTCTGTAACAGAAGGAGCATTTAATCAAGAGTCAGAAGATGTGAGTTATAGACCCAGTTCAGTTCTAGTTAGCTATGTGAATACTGATAAAATCACACCACCACTGTGAGCTCATTTTTCTCATCTATAAAATGAAGGAGTTAAACTGGTAATCTCAGAGTCTCCTAACAGCTCAACTAAAATGTCCATCTGGAAAATAGTGATAATAATCCCTTGCCCTGGAGAACTGTTTTGGAAGACAAATGTAACGATACAGGTAAAAAAAAATTTAAGACCATCATATTCCTTTTCTTCATTTAAAAAATAAAATTTCAAAACATAAAATTCTTCCTCAGATAAAGTTAGAATACTGACCTAAATAATATTAGAAGAAAACCAAAATTGACTACTAGAAATTGTTATTATATAAGTAAAATATATGTTAAATAGAAGAATGGATATAGGAGTAAGATAATAGTATATTTTATAGCACATTATACAAAAATAAGCATTTAAAATTTAGCAAACCACTTAAATCTAACATAAAAATCAAGACTATCCTATTAATCTATGAATAGTTTGAATTTTCTACTTACATTATTTGCAAACTCTCTGCTGTTAAATTATTCCACATGATCTCATTAGCCTGAAGACTTTCATTTTCTTCAAGTAAAGAAGCATCAAACTCAATTTCTTGCTCCTCAACAGCTGGTGATCTGGTAAAACACGGAAAATAGTTGTGATTGAGATTGCATGTACCATTCATTATATATCAAGGACAAATATACATCATGGTATGACAGCTAGAAGGAATTACAGAGGCAACTTGTCCAAACCTCTTATTCTACAAATGAGGAAAGTGAAGCTGAGATATTAAGTGATTTGCCCACCCATAGAGGTGATAGTTGAACTCAGGTCCTTAGAATTGTGAACTTTTCCACCACAGCTTGCATGGCCAAATTCTTGGGACAGATCAAGAGTATATTTGCTCTATTCAAAAATGATATTAATAAAAATGTGTTTTATTATACTAGATAAATTTACACACAAATAACTAAGAACAAATTAAACCAATCTGTTTACTTTCTTCTGAATAAACTGAAGACATAAATTGTGAAAGAGAAGATACATTTTCACGTATAAAGGCAAAGTATTGCTCTAAGTGATGTTATGGTGAAAACTGAAAATGCATTACTTCAAAATGACTAATAGCAATTATATATTTGAAATGTGTATATAATTATTAGCATTCTCTCCCTTCTCAAGTTACCTATTATCTACTTATACATGTACATGTTATACACTTGTCTTTGTACTCTCAAAGGCTAGCACAGTGCCTTGTCCATAGTATGCATGTTAGTTGAACTGAATTGGATTAAAAAATGACTTTCAAAATAACTAAAAGTCAATAATTAAAATAATTTTTTTGCCTTACAATGCTTTTACATTTGTTCAACTGTATTTCAACCTTTTGACATAAATGATGAAAGTAGAAGAAAAATCTCATACCTGTAAACATCTATGAAATTGTTGTATTCCGTGCTAGGATCAATCTGTTCAACTGATGTCTGAATCTCTTTATGGACATTAACTATCTCCTCTGTAACAAGACTGGTAATCTGGCTGTATTCATCAAATATACTTTTTCTAAGAACAAAAATATAAATAATCAACAATTTTCAGTTTTGAAAGAGACTGAAATGAAAGCAGAATAACAAACATTAAATTTATTATATCAGTTGTATCTCAAAGACTATTTATGAAACTCATTTCAAATACCTGAAGAATCAAGTAAAGGATTTTATAATGGAAAAGAATAAAGTAGACTTTGAAATCTTCAGCCAATGACATGAAAATGGTTGAAAATAACTACGGATTACAGATGTAAGTTAACAGAAGGAAAAAATATGATTGACTAGAATAGTCAGAGGAGGCCTTGAAGAGAAGACTTAGAGAAGAAAGGGAGGATTTACTAGGCAATAGAAAGAGCAAAGACAAAAATTTGAGAATAACGTGCAGCATATTTGGAAGACTGTAAGGAAACTGATCTAGACTTAAGTAGAGTAGGGTATGCCTGTTGGAGAATAGTGAGAAATGAGGTTGTACAAGAAGATCAGATGTAGCTTTCCCTTACTACTCTGGAATATGAAGAGTTTATAAGCCTGGGGATAGTGAAACAATGGTGGGAGAAGTGAAAGTATTAGTAGGGGAAACTTGTTTACTTGTTTATTTAATTTTGAATTGTACAGCAGTAGCACACTGAAGAGGAGATATCCTATAGGCAGCAATAAATATGAAATCAGAAAGTTTCTACAAGACTAAAGATTAGTGCACTGAAGAAAAGGATACAGCATGCTCTAAGAGAAGGAATACTGGCTTGTGAGTCAAGAGGCCTCAGTTCTAAAAGTGGCTCTGCCACCAGCCACTTGTGTAGTCTTAGGCAAATCATTTCACCTCCCTAGCATTCAGTTTTTTCATCTTTAAAATTAGGGGCTTGGACTATATTCGTCACCCTTTTCGGGTCATGGACTCACTGTTTTGGCTGACTGATAAAGTTTATGTACCCCATCTCAGAAGAATGTTTTTATATTCCTAAAACAAAATACATAGGACTATAAAGGAAATCAATTATATTGAAATAGCTATCAAAAAAATTTTAAGTACATGGGCCCCCAAGTTAGGGACATGTGAACAAGATGACTCTAAGATCTCTTTTAATTTTATGTCTCCACAGCATTCTATTATTATCCTGTGATCCTCAGTGGTTTTATGTAAACAAACCAATTAATACTTCAGTTGAGAAAATGGAAAGAGCACTGGGATTTGGAATCAGAAGACTTGGGTTCAAATGTTGGTCTGCTACTTATTACAATATTTCATAGGCTAGGTGTTTCTATTTTACTTATTTTATTTTATTAGTAATTAAATTTATTAAAGTGATTTTTCCCCACTGTTTTCTAGTTTGGGCTTTTTACATTCTACTATGTGCTATGTTACCCAACAACTTTCTAATGGGAAAGTACTAGAAACTAGAATTTCTGATATCCTATAATTCAAATAATCAACCTAATTATTCACCAAAATTATCAATTATTACATATTATATAACTTTTATAATTATGCATTATATAATTATTTATAGCATATGAATATAATATGTAATGTGTGTGCTGATATATACTATTATAATTATAATATAAATTATATACTATAATTATAATTAAATACTACTATAATTATAACTAAATAATAGTATAATTATAAATAAATATTATTGTGCCAAAATTAACTAGAGCTTCCAGTAGGTTTTTTAGAGCAGAGGTGTCATAGTCTCTACTAAGGAGAAAATGTTTACCAAAATAAATAAAAATACAACAAAACATAGGTAATGTCAATTTGTGGTTTTATAAGTCAGTATGTTGCTTCAGGGATCCATTTCTATTTGAATTTGACACCATTGATAATGTTTTGTGGGTGAAGAGTTTCTAAGTTTGTAGAAGAAGTCAGGGGGAACAAAAGACTTACAAACAAGAGTGACTAGCCTAGGTAAAGCCTTTCAATTGTTTAAAAGTCTAAAGGTAAGAAATTAAGGGAAATAATTTTAAAAGTTTCTGGAAAAACATGTATTAAGCAACCCTAGAACTCTTGATTCATCAGGTAGTCCATCACTCCCCCAACATACCAGATAATAAAGCTGTTACTATATATAATTAGTAAGTAAAACACATTATATTACAGTATATTTTAAAGTCACAGTAATCATTCACTAACCTGGGACTACATACAATTAAATTCAAAACTGCAAACATATTTGAACATTCAGAAACAATAAAGCAACAGAAAATCCTCAGAAACTAAACTGTACTAATCACTAACTTTTACCATCCAAAAACCACAAGAGAAGAGGTACATAATCTGCCTGAGATGTACAACTATGTAATTTGTATATTTTCAGTGTCAAAAAATAAAACACAGATTACAGAAGAAGTGTAAAAGCAAATTGATTAATTTATCCATAGTTTTTAAATAAGTGTCAATAAAAATTTGTCTGCATAGGTAGATGAAATACTAAAACAGCAATAAATTGAAATATCTTTGAAAGATTTTCTGCAGTGTCCAGAGATTATAACCTTAAACAGTCAGAGGGGTTGTCAAATATTCTAGAATATCTAGAACATTCTCACAAAATATCTAAACAACCAACACATGTAAAGACTTTAAGGCACCAGTCTGTGAGGAACGAGATACCACAGCATGCATAACTTGATGTGAATGCCACTCTAATACCATATTTTTTAGAATTGCTTAACCTGCTTGAATTCTGGCTGTGTGGGTTCACTCTTAGAGGCTTATATAATCATAGGGTTGTTACAAAAGGTAACTGGGAGGCTAAGTTAATTCTAAAGGAATCTTCAGATTCATAATAGCCTTGGCATTAGTGAGAGGCATGGTGGAGAAAAGAGCAAAAGAAGGGTAAAGAATAGAACACATCAGAATTACAGAACTAGACAGGAATTCCAATGGAAAGTTTCTCAGAAATGATTTAGGCTACCATTGCTTCTTAGGGGCAGCATAAGATAGTGACTCCAAAGCCAACATTCTGGCCTTAGAATCAGGAAGATCTGGTACATACACTACCTGCATGACCCTTGGCAGGTCACATAAGATCTCAGTGTCCCAAGCAACTCTATTATTAACTGATGTAATCACAAAAAGTGAAAGATAAGAGAGGTAGTAAGATATTATGTGAATAAAATACAAAGACTTGTCTAAACCTAATCATTCTTTTACAAAGTGTAAAAAAATATTTTGAACTGGAGGGAGAACTTGGCATTGGCTGACAACTGACCAAACTCCAGCTGACCTTTAAAAGAAAAGCCTAGAAAGAGTCAGAGAGTTTGAAGTGCAGTTAAGATGTATCTAGGAAGGAACAAAGAAACATACTTTCTAGGGAGGCCCAGGCACAAAGGAGCAGCACTCCATTCAGGAAGCAATTTCAAGGAACAAGACCTCTGGCAACAAAGAAGATAACCAACTATGGATTTTAAGACATAATTAGCCTTGAGAGTTGAGCTGCAGTAAGGAAGATCCAGATGAGCATTCACAAGTAGAACAAGAACATTGGATCTCTGTAACACTCAAGCAATAAGTTATGTTGGTCACATGCATTCCCTACATTTATGCCTCTCTATGAGAATACGCTTAAGTTTATTCTTAGTCATCAGACAGATGTATATATTTGTAGAAAAGTGTATACCAGGTTTATGGGGGGAGAGTTTTGTGACTACTAACTGACTATGCCATCTTAGTAAATGCCTTTGCTTGAAGGTAATTACATCCACTGGTTGACTATTAAAGGTAATCTCACTGGTGGAGGCTAATGAGTTATAGTTTCAGGGACCTTGGAATCTATTAGAGTAGTCACTCTACTCAAGGACCTAACATGAAAACCCATGACATTAACTGTGCAGTGAAGTTAATACATAAGAGTACTTCTGGTTCTTAGAATTTTAAATTTGCAAATGTTATCTTCCCTCTGGGGAATACAAATGAATCAATAATGCTTGCTACAGAATATATACACTGGTACATATGTTTATATGTAGCAGTATGTAGTAATTATTTTTCTTCTCCTTGACAGAATTTTTGTGTGCTAGAAAGTTATTCCTGACCTCCTATGGAATCTTAATTAGCATTCAGAGGTAGAATTCCAAGTGAAAAAACCATAAGCATTCCCATAAATGCTTTAATTTCCATCTCTCAGCTCCAGGCATTTTTTTCTTGTTGTCCCCCACGCTTGGAACACACTTCTTCCTCTGTTCCAACTATTGACCTCCCTAGCTTCATTTAAGTACCAACTAAAATCCCACCTTCTACAGGAAGACTTCCCCAATCACTCTCAATTCTACTGCCTACCTTCTGTTATCTCCTACTTATCCTATATATAGATAGCTTTGTATATATTTGTTTGCATGTTGTCTCCTCCATTAGACTGTCAACTCCTTGAGGGCAGAGACTGTTTGCCTCTTTTTATAACCCCAACACTTAGCAACAGTGCCTGGTGTTCTTAATAAATGTCTAATCAGTTAGCTAATCAGAGATACAGGGCTGTATTTCTGATACTTCTCACAAATTCGCTGGGAAGATTCACACCTGTGTCATTTAACTCTCTCCCTCTTCATATATAGATATGTGTATATGTATATATGTACATATGCATATATAGAGAGACAGATAAGAATATCAGTATATAGATGTACATATCTTGTAAGATTTGGTAGTTTCTTGCTTTTATCCCTACAAAACAGCTCTTAATAGTTCTCTTTTGGAGACATAATGTACATGACTTCCCTCCTTTTTTCCTTTACCTAGTTGCCACATAACTGCTTATTTGAAGTCATTTGCTGCCAAATACAAGAACTTAAATGGGCAGAAGAAACTATCCAAATTCCCTTGTTTTAAAACTCCTTAAAAGACTCTCTTTCCAACTGCTACATCAAGTGGCCCTAATTTATCTCCACAACTAACATTTCTATAGGACAAATCTACCCATATCACTGCCCTACTCTAAAAAGCTTCATTAGTTCCCAGTTGCCTAAAAAACAGAACACAAACTCCTCTGTGTAGCATTTAAAGCCATTCATATT